CATTGTCTGTTAGAAAAATCACCTGGAGTGCAGCTGCCTTTTCTGTCCAACACCTCAGGCTGGTAGTTCTTCATTCCCTCAGAGAGGAGACTCAAATTCAGATAGAGGAGGGGCAGACAGGATTGCAAGGTGACAAGAGATATGGTTCCTAAATGATTGCTTGAAGCTGCCTGTAGCCTTAGTCAGACAAGCACAGCCAGAAACCTCCTCCCCATTCTTGGGAACCCAGTGGCAGTGGTGGCTGAGGGGTATGTGTTGCTAAACTGGCTGTGGAGGAGACCAGGAGCTGGCAGACCAGGGCTAGGAGAATCAGGCTGTGAGGAGCTGAAACTGCAGCAGACCAGTGAGGTGACTTGGGTAGCCCTTGCTCGGTGTTTTGGCTCTGACAAAAGCTGCTCTGGCAACATCTGAGCAACAGAAACCTGTGTGGAGGAGGCTGGGAAGCCAGGAGCTGGTGGAACTGTGAGGAAATAGGACCTGGACCCTGCTTGGTAGATATCTGGGGCCATTTGCCAGACACAGGGGGTTACCTTGATATGTTCGAAGCTGTGACTTTGTCTTCCAAACCTGTTTGGAAAAGTACCAAACAAGGAGAGATTAAAATGACCCCCAACATTCAGAGCACTAAAGAAAAGGGGAACTTTGAAAATCCTCATGTCTATTTGAACCAAGCTTGCAACTCTCTGAGCTGCAGCTCTCTGATTTGGACAGGGCAGAGGTGGGAAATGAGTCAATATTGAAGCTGAAAATGAACCAAAATGTAAAACTTTGGTTTTGACATAATCCAGTACTAGCACTATGTGTGCTGCTTTGGTCTCTCAAGCTACTTTAGTTTACTAATGGAGAAGGTTGAAAGGTGATTCTTTCATAGTTAACAAGTACTTAAAAAGGGAAGAGGTTTCTGGTTGGTAGATGGGATTCAAATTTACCCGAGAAAGGCAGAGATCTCTTGGCTGGAAGCCAAAATTAGAGAAATTCAGACTAGGAATAAGGGCTGCAGTTTAAACAATCTGCATGAAAAACAGTGGAAGGTCTTTGGCTGGTATTAAGCAGACTCATCAGCTGGTAATGGCTCTAAATGAGGATTTCTTTGTTTTTCTAAAAGATGCAGAAATTGTGAAGAGAGGCTCTCCAGCCCAGAGCAGCCCTTCCAGCAGGCCAAGGCTGGGCTTCCCTTTGGACTGGGCTGAGCTCAGCCCTGGCTGCTGCGTGGGGCTCTGCCCACACTGCTGCCCAAGCACCAGTGTCACAGGGAGGTGCTGTGTGTCTGGGAGCACAGCTCTGTTTCTTTGTGCACAGCACTTTTCCCAGGCACAGTCCAAAATACTTCTCTGTTGGATTCCCCTTTCACTGGCCTGTCTGATTCAACTGGGCAATGACAGTCTAAGAAGCATGGCTTGTGAGCTGGATGCACCTCCTTCCTGTAGTAAGAACACTTGAAGACACACAAGCTGGGGATAAAACATCTCCTCCCTTTTCCTGGGCAGGAGCCTCTGCTGGAGGAGTGGGAAGCAGGCAGAGCCCCAGCCCTGTGTGAGCAGCAGCTCCATCTCTGCCACACTTGGCATGTGTCTCTCTGGACCTGCCTAGTTAGGAATGTCATGTCATGTCATTTTTAACTGGTAGCCAAGAGCAGCAGGGGTGAGAGGTTTGGGTGAGATGTGATTCACGTTGGTGAAGAGGAACCTGGGAATAGAGATCTTGGAAGGTTTCTTGCTTGTCCTTGGCCCTCTCCTGCAATGATCTCCATGTTTCTAGGCTTTGCTCTGTTCTTGCCAGCCTTTTCTGGGGAGAAGGGCAGGGATGACACATCTTTCTCCCAGGCCATGCTGTCTGCTTCCTCATTCTGCACAATGCAAGCCGGGAAAGAATATGGAGCAGATGCAGCAATGCCAAGGTCAGGACCTTCCCAGTATTTAAGGCACATGCATACTGTTGGCATAGTACAGGGTGACCTCAGTGTACAGTAGGAGCCAACCAACACACACCTTCAGACAGAATAAATATTTGACAGAGTCTATTTCTCTATTTCCAAAAATGAGCCCTATAAAAGCAAGGTCCTGTTTACCTTTCTGGGTCTCTGTGTACAGTATTCTGAGAAAAGTCAAGCTCTCTCCTCCATTCATGCCTTCCTGCTCTTCTGGGTGACCCATTTCCAGGCAAGGATCAGGGATCCTGTTTCCACAAATCCCAGAATGCCTCGGATTTCCACAGAACTCTTGACATTTGGGAAAAGCTGAGATAGTTTTTCTTCAGAAGTGTCTATCTGTGCCAAAGCATGATGACCTGGGAAGTGGTGCAAGGTGTCAGTGTGCAGCCTGAAGGAGTTGCCTGCAGACACCCAACCTGGTTTTGTGATGTCCCTACCCCATTAGCACCCATGCAGCCCTCCCCACCCCATCCCCCCCTTCCCCATTCTTATCCCCCTCCCCATTCCCATCCCCATCCAGCAGCAGGTTTGGGTGTGCAAAAGTAACAGTGGGGGAGAATATTTGATGGGGTTAGTTCTTTTTTCCTTGGTGTGCTAAACATGCTTCCTTTGCTCTCCTGGGTCCTATGTTTGCTTTTGTGCCTTAGTTCCAGTGTAGCTGTGCAGCTTGGAGTCAGCAGAAGGTCTGGCATGCTGGGGAGCAGAGAGGCTGTGTCATCCACCCCTCCTGTCACAGTTGCAGACATCTCTGGATTTGCTTTTCACTGTGAGCTTTGCCCAGACAATTCATGGAATCATGCAATGGTTTGGGTTGGAAGGGACCTTGAAGATCATCTAGTTCCAAACCCCCTGCCATGGGCAGGGACACCTCCCACCAGCCCAGGTTGCTCCAAGCCCCATCCAACCTGCCCTTCAACACTGCCAGGGATGGGGCAGCCACAGCTTCCCTGGGCAACCTGGGCCAGGGTCTCACCACCCTCACAGCAAAGAGTTTCCTCCTAATGTCTAACCTAAATCTCCCCTCTTCCAGTTTTGATCCATTACCTCTTGTCCTCTCACTACAAGCCCCTCCCCAGCTTTCCTGTATTCTCTTCAGGCACTGAACAGCCCCTACTCTTTCAGCCTGTATTCATAGGAGAGATGCTCCAGCCCTCGGATCCTCTGGACTCTCTCCAGGAGCTCCATGTCAATTTGTGTTACTCTGAACTGTTCCATTTCTGTCCATGTTTGTATCTTTCTATTAAGGGCATTTTAGCTTCCCAGCCCTCACAGATAAAACAAAGGAGTAAGAGAGTCTTCAGAGGATACTACCATGGGACCATATGCCCGATGGTTGCTGTGCTTTCTATTTTGCATAAGATTACCTCCAGTGAAAGCAGTCTTTACATAAAACCAACCTACAGTAACTTAGCTTGGCATGAAGAGTGAGTGGAGACATCCAAAGGTCTATAAAATAGCAGTTGCAGTAATGAAACCCATCCTGTTCCCCTGCCTTTGATTGCTCTTCCATATTGCAAGGTCAGAATGCACTAGGCAATTAAAAGATGGCTTGTGCATACTAGACAGGAAAAAAATACTTTATCTGTAACACATCTCAGGCAAGTGGAAACCATTGTTACCAATATTCTTGAGGCAAAACTAGCAATTTGCTTTTTTTGTATTTAAGGATAATGCTTAGAATGAAAAAGGGAGCAAAACGAGCTGCCAGTTGGAAGGAAAATTCTAAGCCTGTGTATCCTTCCTTGCCAGGTTTAATATGAAGCCTAGCAGAGATTGATAAGAAGTGTCTCCCTCTCTGCCTGATGTTCTGGGTGCATGATAAAAATCACCTCTCTGAAACACCCAGGAAAGCTCAGGTGCAGACCCAGCCTGGCAGCACAGGTCCTGGCACCATTTAAACAGCTTTATTCTTTGACTTTCCTGACTGCAACTGAAGAATAGCTGCTCCTCCCCTTCTTATCCTTTATTTGTGCAGGTTTTACTGGAACCTCCTCTGTTGCTGTTGCTGTGCTGCTGACACTGTCATGCTGTGACCATCCACAGCACACACTTCTGGGGGACAGGGAACCCCTCCCCGGGTCCTGCCTCTGCTCCTTCTGCCCCAGAATCCTGGGACTGTGGGGTTGGCAGTGTGGCTGTTGTGGTGGCAGAGGACATGTCCATGTTGGCAATCGTTGGTGGCAAGGGCAGGAAGTAGGGAAAAACAGTATCTGAAAAGCTGGAGCTCCTGCATCCCTGGCTTCCTGCAGGGAGAGCCTGGAGAGCAGAGCCAGCCCCTGCACCAGCAGGAGATCCCTGGCTCCTGCCTGCAGGAGTGAAGACACAGTCAATGTCACAAAGTGGTGGGTGTTGGAAGGGGCCTCTGAAGATCTAGTCCAACCCTCTGCTAAAGGAGCATCACCTACAATCCCATAGGAAGACAGAGAAGGAGACTCCACAACCTTTCTGGGCAGCCTGTCCCAGGGCTCTGTTACCCTCACAGTAAAGAAGTTTTTCCTTATATTTAACTTGAAACTCCTGTGCCCATTGCCCATTGTCCTGTCACTGGATGCTGCTGAAAAGAGTCCCATCCGCCTGACACCCCCTGTAGATGTTTATAGGTGTTGATGAGATGTCCCCTCAGGCTCCTTCAAGCTGAACAGCCTCAGCTCTCTCAGCCTTTCTTCACAGGGCTGCTGCTCCAGCCTCTTCATCTTCTTTGTGGCCTGTGCTGGGCTCTCTCCAGTAGTTTCTTATCCTTCCTGAACTGGGGAGCCCAGAATTGGATGCAGTATTCCAGCTGTGGCCTCACCAGGGCAGAATAAAGAGGGGAAAACAGAGAGTCAAGCCTGGCCTTGGCGAGCAGGTAAAAGAGCCGAGTCAGACCCACGGGTTCCTTTGTTCCCCACTCAGATGTTTCTGACTCTGTGCTCCTTCCCTGCCCTGTGCTGCAGAGGCTGGGGAGTGGGGCATCCCCTCTCCAGCTCTCCTGTCCCCAGGCAGCTCAGGACAGGGCTGGGAGGGCTCACGTCGCTCGTGCGCAGCCTCTGGAGGAGGCGGGTTTCACATTGTCTGATTTCTCTTTTTGTAGCTGTCCCTCCCAAGCTGAAGAAACTGAAAAGCCCAAACGTTCATGTTGGTGAGAAGATTTCGCTGAAGTGTGAGGCGACTGCTGGAAACCCTCAGCCATCCTACAAATGGTTTAAAGATGGCAAAGAGCTGAAGAAGAGCAAAGACATCCGGATCAAGTATGGGAACGGGAAGTAAGTATGATACGTGGCTGCTCTGCCCCTGCTCACTAGAGCTGAGTGTCTGGGTCACGGGGACCATCTGGCTAGAAGTGGTGCTGTGCTCTTCAATTCATTGCTGAGTCATACTAAGATGCTTCCTCAGAGGCACAGGACCATGCCCAGCCCATTGACCATGCTCAGCAGAGTAAGCAGGATTCCCAGGTTCCTCATGGAGTAGCAGAGTGAGAGGAGCAAGGCTTGCACAGGTTAGGTTCTTGATTTATAGGTGGGCATCTCCCTGGGTAACTGTGCCAGGGACCTGAGGAGATATCTCTTTCCC